TAACTCTCTATCCCTCTTCCTCTCTGTGGAAAAATCAATAAAATATATTTTTTAAAAAGATATATACTCACACATATGTATCTATATACCGATTGTCATAGAGTGACTACAGCACAATTTGGTTGTTGTGGAAGAACAGAAATATGGAAGTTTGAAGAGAATAATAGCGGTTGGGTTCAGAGGGCCTTGAAGGTCAGATGAAATGGATAACTATCCCACAGGTTGCAGTGGGAGTCAGTACAAATTTATATGTGTTTCTGCTTGCCGTTGGTATGTCTGCCTGACATGGCAACTGTCACTTTAAATTAATGTGTATGAAAAGAATGCATCATTGATTAAAAACAAATAAAAAAAAACACCTTCCAAAGTCATCCAGTTTTCTCAATACTACCATTATACTTCTAGACACTCTGATTTGCTTGATAACCTAAATCCTGGCTCTCCTCATGTCCTGAATTCACCCTTTCCTCATCTTTGCTGACACCATTCCCTTTTTGGGACTTTATGCCTAGACTTTTATAGTTATCTAACTGGTTCCCATCTGTTATCTATTGCATACTGCTGCCAGACACTTCTTACTAAAGCAATATTATCACATTTTCTTGCAGTGATGGCTGGAGCTTAGCCACTGATAAGTCTTTGAACTCAAAATCTCTTTCTTCAACAATTTCTTCATACATTTTACCTTCCATTCAAGGCTGGCTCATTTCATGCCATCACCGTTCTTACATAATGGTAGAACAGGAGGTTGGTAAAAAAACAAACAAACCAAAAAAAAAACACAGGTGCTGGTGCTAAAGAGGGGGGAGCCCAGCTTTGGTCTAGGTAGGAAACCATTACTACCTGCCGCGGGCCGCCACCGCCCCCCCCCTCCCCGTTCTAGACCTTTGTAGTTTTGTGATACAGTGATGTATATTTTTCACCATTCTACCTGTCAACTATAGATGGTGCTGTTCAGGTTGAAATAGAAAACAAGGCCAGTTCTTAGGTAAAAGCTGCCACCTTTACTTCTCTTTTATACTCTGCTCCCCTCTTCCCGTTAGGCTTCTTTATCAACATTCTTTTGCTGGATCTTCTCTAATTGTGCATCCTACAAGTTCAGTTATTTAGAAAAGGCAATGACATTGACAATGTTAATATTTTTATTTGTAATGAATTCAGAGTTCCCAAAATACATAGAAAGTTATAGTGATGAGTTTCCTTCCCCCATATTGTTTCACCCATCTGGTTCCAGTCCACCCCACACACATATACACAGATAACCACTGTTCACAAATGTCACGTTAAGAACAGCTTGCATAGCTGCTATTGCAGTAGGCTGTGATAAAGAAGAGTATACACAGATTCAATAAATAATCTGGCCCTTCACCCCACGTTCATTTAGCCAGGCATTTAAGAGAATTCTGTCATATTGGCCTTGTTGTATCACCTTATCCCCATATTTCTGGATCAATTAAACAATAAGTTACGTAGGAAGAGCATCCACAATCATAGAATCCATATCATGTTCTTTCTGAGCTGTTGATCCATTGGTCTCCTTTCCCTCGACTTTTGTATTAGTTTAGTTGTTTGAGCATAACTTTAATATATTTACCAGTCATGTTTCTCCTCACACCAGAACTTGCCTTTCATCAGAAGCTATAGGTGATTCAGACATTATTTTGGGTTGGATTGGGTTGTGCTATTTCATTGAGTAAAGATGAGAAAAACATCTGCCTTCCTCTACCACATCCTCTAATTAAAGAGACAGACAGTAAGTAATTCTTAAATTCTCCTTAGAGAATTCCCTCTTCTTCTACCAAAAATGGATAAAATTTAACATTTCAGTAATGTATCTGATATCGAGTCATTTTCTAACATTCAACACAAAACATTCTAGGAATCTTGCTTATTAAATAATAACATACTTTGGTTGTAGCCCTTTAAATAAGAGAATTTGAAAGCTATAACTGTATTACCAATTACCCCAAAAGTTAGTAGCTTACACCAACAACCATTTTATTATTTCTTTTTTTTTAAATATATTTTATTGATTTTGTACAGAGAGGAAGGGAGAGAGATAGAGAGTTAGAAACATTGATGAGAGAGAGTCATCGATCAGCTGCCTCTTGCATACCCACTACCGGGGACATGCCCGCAACCAAGGTATATGCCCTTGACCGGAATCGGACCTGGGACCCTTCAGTCCCCAAGCCGACTCTCTATCCATTGAGCCAAACCGGTTTCGGCCCATTTTATTATTTCTTAAAGCTCTATGGGCCAGGAATTTGGGCAGGTAACTAAAGGTGAAGTCTGTTTGTCTCTGTGCCAGACTGTTTAGAGAGACAACACATCTGGGGACTGGAGGTGCTTTCTCCCTTCCCATTCTCTGTGTGTTCCATCTATAGTTAGAACTTTGTTAAAGTAGAATGAGGCCTGACCTTTGTTCTCAGGGTATGTTTTCAGAGTCTTTTTAGGCAGGACTTTTTAGGCATTTGACTATTCAACAAACTTTCCCACATTTAAGAAATTTCAAGTGTGTAATTGTGATGGATCTTAATGTGTAAAAATTAAATCTTAGTAATTTCTAGAATGAACAAGATGTCTAGCTCACTTGTGTTACTTGACATGTGGATTTGAGTTAGCCAGAAGCTCTCAGAGTTTATTAAACCAGGAGCCTTTTTCTTGGTTGCTAAATTGTATTCTTAAAGTAACTTCAGACTTTAAAAATGTGACTTTGTTTACAAAGCAAACCACTTTTTCATGGTTACTTCAATATAATATTTGTGGAGGCAACATTGTGGTAAAATATATATAACAAAGTTTCCCATTTGACCCTTTTTGATTGTATAATTTAGTGGCATTAAGTACAATCACATTCATATTATTGTGCAACCATCACCATTGTTCATCTCCAGAACTTTTCTTTTATCCCAACAGAACCTGATTTACTCCTCATTTCACTTTCTCTAGCCCTATTCTACTTTCTTTCTCTATGAACTAAGTGCCTTATATAAATGGAATCATATAATATTTATTCTCTTTTGTCAGGTTTGTTTCATTTAGCATAATGTCCTCATTTAGCATAATGTCCCTGTTGTAGCATCTGTCAGAATTTTATTCTTTTTTAAGGTTAATATTTCATTTGTATAAACCCCCCCCCCCTCCCACACACACACACCATTTTATCTGTTCATCCCTCGATCCCTCGTTGGATGACTGAGTTACTTCCACCTTTTGGTTATTGTGAATAATGCTGCTGTGAACATTGGAGTATCAGTTATATATTCTAGTCTCATTTCTTCTGGGTATGCATCTAGAAGTGGAATTGCTGGATCATATAGTAATTCGATGTTTAATTTTTTTTTTTTTTTTTTTTGAGGAACTGCTGGACTGTCTTCCGTAACAGCCACACTATTTTACATTCCTTACCAGCACTGGACAATGTTCCAATTTTTCAGAATTCCTGCCTATACTTAATTTCCGGTTTTTGGATAATAGCCATCCCAATGGGAGTGAAGTGTACCTTGTGGTTTTGATCTTTTTCATTTTCCTATTGAAAACTATTGGGTTTTGTATATTTTGACTAACATTGTAAAGTGTGTGCAATTTTTAATTTATGAACCACATATAAGCATGGTAGAAAAATAGTCTATAGGAAATGGTTGACCTTGTCAACTAAACTTCTTCCAGCTAACACAGGTATTTGAGAGGATTACAGGGCTTTATTTGTATTGATTTTTAAAGTACTTTCAGTAGTGTTAGGCCAATGTGGTTTTATTGCTTTGTAGTAAATGATTATATGATTTGGGTTGGAAATACATTGATTGTGTTATCATTAGAAGAATTCCTGTATCCAACTTTTAAACATCAATAATGATGGAAAATGATGAATGCCATCGTGCTAAATGTTTTAGAGGTTGGATGTTGACTTAAGAAGTCTGTGTTCTTCTCATTAAGTGGTTCTTTGTAGACAATCTTTATTTCCTTGGGCTTCTAGAGGAAGACAACTACTGTATAAGACTGAAGCTTAGCTCCCCAGAGTATCTAATGTGATACTTTATTCCCAGAGAGAGCTGTCAGCTGGCAGGCCAGGATGCATAATGAGACAGCAGAACCAAATATTTTATAATAGGATTTTTAGGAAGTTTCGGCTGTTCTTTTTGTTTCATTTCTTTATACAGTTTTAAAACATGAATGTATATTATTTATTGCAAATTTTTGAAATTGTAGTTGGTTCTTGAAACTGAAGAGATTGAGTAATGTTTTAAGATTCTGAACATAAAGAGGGGGATGTGGTATGAATTTTGATAAAGAACCACTTTCTTAATTTGGCTTAACCAATGTGTTATAGTAACAGACCAATGCTGGAGAGCTGTATGTACACCAGCATGCTTTATATTCCTTCAAGCAGCAGTTCTCCTAGGAGTAAAACTCACCCCAGTTCACTGATGATTGGCTGAGCAAGTTTAATTAGATTTAGAGCATCTACTTACCGTAAGATGGTTTAACATTAGTAATAAACTCAATGTCCATACACATTCTTGTTTAGAAAGATTTGTTTTTTTTAATGATACCTTTTGTAAAACATTTTCCCAACAAAGCATTGTTAGACTGTCATTAAACTAAAGTAATGAATAAAAATTGCATAATAATTAATGTAAAAAATACCAATGTCCTTACATAGTAGGATATTAGCATAAGTGGGGGATTACCATCTTTTATTTATATTGCTTCAATTCTGGTTCACTTTGGTATAGAATTGACATCATTGGCAATTCTGAATAGTAACATGCAAGAAAAGTGGAACATTGAGTAATTGATAGAATACTGCTGTTGAATTAAGATAAATATTGATAATCTTTTCCTTACTTCTGTGACACTTTGCACATTTCTGCCTATTTGATCTCTAAAAATTGCTATTAAAAGGGTTGCTACTAAAAGTTTAAGACTTAAATCTGGTTTATTTTATAGTATGTACTCTTCTTAGTCAATTAACATGTGCCCCTTTTCTGATCTAGAATGACTCTGCTCATGGTGATTACGTGCAAACTAATGAGGCCAGTTTAATAGATCACGCCCCAATACCTCATGACGGACTTACTGTGGCACCTCATAGAACCCAGCGAGAAGGTATGCTGTATTCTTTGCTAACTTAAAGCATCTATAAGTGGAACGATTGCAGGGTGCTATTTACATTGGTTCACTCTAACTCTTCTGTCTCCTTTTTGGAGTAGGGAAAGCCTGCTGGTCTGTTTTAGTTCAAAAGCCAATCCTTCTACTTGTTTGAATCTGTATCTGGGCTATAGCTCCACAGCACTCAGCCCACCCTGGGATGTGCTTATTTGGCCTTGCCTTGTAGGCAGTTGTCTTCAATCTGGTTACATGTCTTTGGAGGGCAAAGACCTTAACATATTCCCAAAGTTTTTATTATAGGGCTATATCTGTAGGATGTTCTCAGTGTCTACTGAAAAAAATAATTTTATAGAAGATCACTGTAAGAGAGAAGAAATTTCTTACAAGTCCATTCTTCCTGCAGTAATGCAGTTTTCAAGAGGGCTGGAGATGGGGGAATGAAAATACTTTGCTATGTGAAAAGGAATGAGTGTAGACATCCTCTTAACATTTGGGGAGTCCATTACTTGTGTTGAGGGAAACAGTGAAATGGAAAATGTAGACAGCTACCTGGCAGCCTTGGAAAAGTGAAGGATGGGCGAGAAGCATCATGCTAGTTATGACAGCTTTGAATTGACATTATTTTATTTCTTTTTAGTCCAAATAACAATCCTTTTGGTATAATATATTTTTTTCTTACAGAGGAAAAATAGGTAGAAATGTTTAATGTTTAAAAAATGTTTACATTTCTAATCAAGAATATATTGACTACTTGAATCATAGACTCTTCCACCAAGCACACCAATCATGGAGTCACCTACAGGGAGTTTGGTTTTACAAAGAAGGTCCTTTAAAAAAAAAAAATGAAAAGACTACATCAAAATGCTAATAGTTAAGATGGTACCAGAGATAATTTCTTGTATTTTTAATATTTATTAATCCTCACCTGAGGATATTTTTCCATTGATTTTCAAAGAGAGGGGAAGGAGGAGGAATAGGAGGATAAATGGGGGGAAAGGGAGAGAGAAAAAAATATCTATGTGAGAGAAGCACATCAGTTGATTGCCTCCCACACACTCCCCAACTAGGGCTGGGGATCTTGACCGGGTATATGCTCTTGACTGGGAATCGAACCTGAGACCTTGAGGTGTGTGGACCTAAGCCACACCTGCCAGGGCTGTGTAGTTAATTTTTAAACAAATGTTTGTAATCCATGCTTTCTAGTTTTAATGTATGACGCTTGGAGGAGGCTCTCACATTATCAGCCTTTCTTCATACTCTTGTTCTCTCTTCCTGATTCTGATAGATCACGGCAGGTTTAACTTGAGATCAAGGCTGAAGACATAGCCGTGTTCCATAATGCCCTAGTTGTCCCCTATCTATAGCCCACCAGCTTGCAGAAGTAGAGCTGTTTTATATATCTGAACATAGATTTGTTCAGATGGCTTTTATTTAGTAACATCATTCTTTACATAATTTAATAGAAAAGCTTTTGAAAAGCAGCAGACCCTCCCTTTCCACTTTGGCCTGTATGATGCTGGGGGAGTTCTGAGGAGTTACAGATTTCTCACCTGGCTTTTGAGATTTTCTTTTGTCTCCATCCTCAACATTTTTTACCCAATAAGGGGAAATTAGTCCAGAAGCAGGCCACCAAACACTATATATTTGGAAACTTGTCACAAAATTCTGGCAATGAGATCTCCTTAGTTTATTATGAGTGTCTGCTTACCAGCAAATTTCTGTGTATGTTTTCTGCTTTCTCATTGCCCACCCTCCGTGATCTATAACAACCTTAATTCTTCCTGTATACTTTAGTTACTTTGTATATTTTGCTTTATCTGATTTAACTTCTTCCTCTAAGGGAAAGTGAATCTTTTCCTCCTCTTCTCCATCTCCTATCTCTTGGATCCAGCAGTGAGCACGCTAGTCTGTTGAGTCATTTTCCTAATTTCTTCACTAAGACCTTTATCATCTTCATTACTACCAGCCTCATTATTGTTTAAGTACATTCTTTTGGATGAATCTGAAGTGCTGTTTTTGTAGTAATCCGAATAACAAACAGTTTTGATGATTATCATCTTGAAAAAAATCTTCACTGCAGGCACCTTTTATTTTTTATCTTTGGTGCTTAGCAGAGTACTTAAATCTGCTTAGACATTCAGCATATTGAATGGATATAGGAAAAAATTACTTCATGGATGGATGGCACATGCTATGCTTCTGGGTGTGCGTTTTTTGTTTTGTTTTATTTTTTGCTTAATCATGATTTAAGAACAGTAATTAAGATGAAGATAAATAGCTTAATTGTGTAACATTTATCACATTTGGTAATTGAAATGTGTGTCTAGTCTCTGTAGAACAAGTCAGCATGTTTTCTTTCTTTCAGCTGTACACATTGAGAAGATAATCTTGAAAGGAGTACAGAGAAAAAGGACTGACAAATATTGGGAGTACACCTTTGAAGTAAGCTACTCTCACCCACAAAAAATGCCTCATATTTTATGTTAAATAATCTTCTGAAAAGAATAAACATTGATCTTTGGAAAAACTTCTGGCAGGTTTGCTAACTTAGAAAAGTTAAACAAATGTATACCTTTGTCTAAATTAAGGGGATGTACTGCTTTTAGTGTGTTCTGCATGGTTTGCCAAGTTTTTAGAAATTGTACCACCACATGAAAATTACTCTGACAATAATTATCAGAGTTTAGATTAAAGGAATAAGATATATATTTTAAAAATAAGAGTAAGCATTTTCACCAGTATTTATTTATTTATTTAAAATATATTTTATTGATTTTTTTTTTTACAGAGAGGAAGGGAGAGAGAGAGAGAGAGCTAGAAACGTCAATGAGAGAGAAACATCGCCTAGCTGCTCCTGCACACCCCGTACCGGGGATGTGCCCACAACCAATGTACATGCCCTTGACCGGAATCGAACTTGGGATCTTTCAGTCCGCAGACTGACACTCTACCACTGAGCCAAACCGGTTTCGGCTCACCATTATTTTTAAAATCAGAATTATAGCCGAAACCGGTTTGGCTCCATGGATAGAACGTTGGCTTGCGGACTGAAGGGTCCCAGGTTCGATTCCAGTCAAGGGCATGTACCTTGGTTTCGGGCACATCCCCATTGGGGGTGTGTGTGCAAGAGGCGGCTGATCGATGCTTCTCTCTCATCGGTGTTTCTAACTCTCTTATCACTCTTCCTCTCTGTAAAAATTTAATAAAAAAATATATTTAATAAAATAAAATAAAATCAGAATCACAGGCCTGTCTTTTTCTTTATATTTTTCTTCTCTTTTTCTTTCTCCAGGATGGTTTTATTCTCTGGCCTTTGTGGCCCTGCCTTCTTATCTCCAATTGCTCTCCTGTCACTCTGTCCTTCAAACAGTTCTAATTAACCTTAGAGTCCAACTCTGTTTGGCCCCAGGTCTCCTTTGGATTCCTTGTCCACATCTGCCTTATTCCTCCCTGCTTAGGCTTCTCTGTCTAGCCCTTTTTCCTAAGGCTGTACATGCCTGGAACCAAATGGAAACATGCCATGTTCCTGTGCTTCCTATTTCAGTTCCTCCCCCAAGGTATTGCTTGCCAAATGTTAGCTGTACCTTTCTCATGAAGCCACTTCTGATCCTCCAACAGAATGTTTTTTTATTCATCCAAGGTACATTGCCATCACAGGTACTTACATCTGGGTTTGTGTATTTTCTTTCTATTTGATTATTATCACATGGAGAGCAGGAATCTTCATCTGCTGCCATCCCACCATATCTAACTCACATAGTACATTTGTTCAAAGAATTTCGGAGTCTTGGATTCTGCTTTGTGGGGAAACATATCCTCAATTTGAAAATTTCAAGTCCTTATCTCCATTTTCACTTGACAGTTTTGTAATATTTGGTATAAGCTGGTCTTTGCTGTCTTCAATTCATTTCACCAGCTTTCCTCTGTTGCTGGAGCTCTAAGATTGCTCTTTCTTTAAGGTCTGTGTTTCCTTGCTCTGGAATGATGTACCCTCAGACTGTGGCACAGCTGATGTCCCTTCAACACACAGACTGGCTCAGATGACCCCTTCTCTGAGGCACCATCTTTCTTGGCACCATCTGATGGGCTTCTCCCTGCTCCTGCACCACACCATACTAATTTTCTTTGGAGCAATGACCACTGATTGGAATCATTATATAGCCATTTATTTCATCTGTCTCCTACAATAGACTCGGACTTTGGCCAGCAGTGACTTCAGCTGTCTCGTCCATTCCTGTATCCCTTTCACTGAAACTGTCTGACACAGTAGTTGCTCAACAGACATTTAAATAACTAAAAATCAGCTAAAAGATCTGTCAGTTAATAAGGATATTTGTTTTGGAGGTTGGTAGATAAAACTTTGTATGTGTAGTAGGTCTTTGAACAACCACATTATTTTGTTAATACAATGCTCTGGGAACTTAACTCTTGTTTATATCAGCCTATGGTAAAATTTAAGTCACAGAACCTATTGTTGACATTAAATGAGGACATACTATATTTTTAAGTGTGTGATTAATTATAATACAATTGGAGGTCTGGTGCACGAATTTGTGCACCATTGGGTCCCTTGGCCTGGACTGCTGGATTGGGCCGACACCGGCTCTCTGACATCCCCTGAGGAGTCCTGGATTGTGAGAGGGTGCAGGCCAGACCAAGAGATGCCACCTATGCACAATCAGGGCTGAGGAGGGATGCGGGAGATTGGTCAGCCAGGGAGGGGCTGCAAGAGGGCTCCAGGGCATGTTTAGCCCATCTCACTCAGTCCTGATTGGCCGGACACGAACAGCAAGCAAACCTGCTGGTCAGAGCATTTGCTCCCTGGTGGTCAGTGCAAGTCATAGCTAGCAGTTGAGCGGCCTTACTATATCATTAGCATATTACACTTTGGTTGGTTGAATGGATGGACACAGCATATTAGGCTATTATATAGGATTAGTTGATAAGTCTTAGATATTAGCATCTTTCAAGTATTTACTTGTAAAGTAGAAATTATTAGTGGGCCAGTATTAGATCCACTGAATTAAAAGTATTCAAGAGGTATAGTAGCATAATAGATTTCACTTCTGACTCTTTGGTTACTTAGGGTTGAATCTAAGTAAGTCAGCCTTTTGGAGTTTGTTTCTCCATCTTTAAATGGGTCATATTTGTCCCATCCACCTTAATAGGATTTTACAGAGTTGAGATAAAGTTGAAATCTCTTCATAAATCACTATAAAAATACAATATAGTATTATCAAAGAAAGGCTAGTGAGCACTGGTTATTTCTCATAAGAATATATATTTCATAAGTTCCAGGAGGTAAAATTTTTCTCTTTCTTGGGGCATAGAGCTCTATTCAAAGCATTGTGTTAGAGTTCTGCAACTTCACTAAAGGAATGTAAGATGGTCCACTTTCTGAAAAGTTACCAAAATATGGTCACATATTTTTAAAGACAACTTTAAAAACAAAACAAAAAAAAAAAAACACCATGTGATTCGAAATGTTACTAAATTTTTTTTTGAGTAGAACATGTAATGTGCTGTTAATTTTAATAATTTTGAAGAAATGATGACAATGCCAGATTAACTTTATATTTCTAATTGTTAATCTTAATAAAATGTAAGTAAGGCTCTTTGCTTTACACATGGCTTTTTTTTCAGCTGTTTCCTTGCCTAAGAAATAACCATATAATATGTTTGTGTTGTTTTTTCAATCAGGTAAATTGGTCTGATCTTTCAGTCACAACGGTAACAAAAACCCACCAAGAACTACAGGATTTTCTACTGAAGGTAAAAGTATAGATTTTGTTGTTAAAATTATTTTTACATAATATACAGAATCCAAAAATCTTTACATCAAAATTAATTCTTAGAAACTTAAAATACATGTATACAGGTTTGGAGAACTTTATGAACATTAGCTGTAGAAAATGTCATATTATCTTAAACATAATTTTTCTTACTTTATATTACGAATATAACGAAATGAAGGATTTTCAACATTTTTTTTTTTAAATGGAACCTTATTCCTACTTCCTTGCCCAGGTGTGTAATGTTGGTGGCTGAAGTACATCCTATGAAAGAGTGTGTCTGCAAAATAAGATGAGGCTTGTTTGCATTTGGTAATGGATCTCAGATTTAACAGCTCTTTAGCTCCCTCTGTGTACTCCTTAAATATATATCCATTTGTTCCTTCTTTGAATTCCAAGTCCGCCTCCACTCCCACAATGATAGATTCTCCAAAGCACTGAGAATAAGGTATAATGGGCACATCTTATAGACTTGCAGAGGTAAAAAGGATCTTAGATTATTTTGTTCAAATTCTCGTCTATTTCTTTTATACTAATTTTATTTTATTGAAAAGCATGTTGGTAGAGATAAATATTAAAATAAGGGAAGACGTTTAAATGGATAACCAAATAAATTACTGTTTTTCAATAAGCAAATGTTTTAAAATTTATAGTTAATTTATAATAATAAAAGAGTAATATGCTAGTTAGACCAGATATCCTTTTGGATGACCTTCTGGACAAAGCTGTGGCTGTGAGGGAAGCCCAGATCCCAGGTGCCAGAGGGAAGCCGGTGCCAGCAGCTGGGGGAAGGAAGGCCTTCTCTTGCACGAATTTCGTGCATCAGCCCTCTAGTACAGAGATAAAACAGAAAGTCCAGAAGCCAATTCATTGCCAATTGAATTACTAACTTTTAGGTAAGGTGTGACATAGTTATTGATCCAATAGCATATGAAATTTTCAGGACAGTACTTGTCACCATAATCTGTTCTTTCAGATCACATGGGTCTCTGTTTACTCATAAAGCTAGGGGGCTGTTTGCCTCCAGCTTGCACAGCTGTGGGCTGCATGGTAGGCACTGGTTCTAAGGAGCACATAGTTCCTTGTGCTGGCAGTGTCAGTCCCGCTGGTTGAGAACTATTGGGAACAACTTGGATATTTCCATTTTTCTATGGCTTATTTTATTTTTTATTTTATTTATTTATTTATTTATTTATTTATTTATTTATTTATTTATTTATTTATTTTACATATTTTATTGATTTTTTTTTTTGCCCCCCTCCTTCCCTCCCACGTATCCCCTCCCTCCCCAGAGTTTTATGTCCATTGGTTGTACTTATATGCATGTATACAAGACCTTGGGTTGATTTATTATCTCCCCCAGATCCTCCTCCCCTCCCCGTTGTAATTTGACAATCTGCTTGTTGCTTTACTGTCTCTATATCTATCTTTTAGTTCATCAGTTTATAATGATCTTTATTATCCACAAATGAGTGGGGTCATGTGGTGTTTCTCTTTCATTGATTGGCTTATTTCACTCAGCATGATGTTCTCCAATTCCATCCAGGTTGCTGCAAATGATGAGAATTCCTTCTTTTTTATGGCAGCATAGTATTCCATTGTGTAGATGTACCAAAGTTTTTGGATCCAATCATCAGCTGACGGGCACCTAGGCTGTTTCCAGATTCTGGCTATTGTAGATTGTGCTGCTATGAACATAGGGGTGCATATATCCTTTCTGATTGGTGTTTCTAGTTTCTTGGGATATATTCCTAGAAGTGGGATTACTGGGTCAAATGGGAGTTCCATTCTCAGTTTTTTGAGGAAACTCCACACTGTTCTCCACAGTGGTTGCACCAGTCTGCATTCCCACCAGCAGTGCACGAGGGTTCCTTTTTCTCCGCAACCTCGCCAACACTTCCATGGCTTATTTTAAACTAACTCTGGGGTAAGGGCTCCACTTGGTGACCTAACTGCATGTAAAGATGGAGGTTATTAATTTCTAGTTGCCACAGGTCGCATGCCTATGACATGTGAGCCTCAGACAGCATGGGGAGAAAGAGAGAGTGGTGGAAGGAGAGGTGTGTGAGCACTGTGTCAAAGAGCTACTTTCTCCTCAGCACCCGGAGGAGAGGGTAGCTCCTGGCTAGCAACCTATTGAAGAATAAGGAAAAGCATCCCCACCCCACCCACACATGCACTTTTAAATTCTTTTCTACTTATTTGTAACTTTTCTCTCCATAGAATAAATTTATCCAAAACAGGCCTCATTTGGGTTAAAGTGCGATGTGCTTCATTTCCTTTTTTCTGTTACCCTTTCCATGACCGAATTCTAGAGCTGAGGGTGGGTTGCAGGGGATAAACAGCTAAGACTGAAATACCCTGCAGCCCAGCACTGCCAACTGTCAAGGCTGGTTGGTTACTTACAGAGTTAGAATGTGGCTGCTACTTCCCTGTCCCCAGTGTTGAGAGAGTACCTGACCGACCCCAGCCTGGGACCTGGCGCCTGGGCAGAGTCTCTCTCCTACTGGGTGACCTACGCTTCAGCTATTTGTCTTGACACATTTCATTTTCATCACACAATTTTTCTAAAACCTTAACTAAGGTTTTAAATACAGCTGAAAAAATACAGCTCCAAATAAGTAATTCATTCTTCAGAATTGTGATAATTAACGTCCCCCCTGCTTAGGCAACATTTGGATATATTTTCTAAAATAGGGCAAATGCCTTATCAAGTTATGTGAAATAATCAGCAATATATTGTGAATGTATAGAAATTAATTGTGTATTTAAAATACACTTTAAATTTTTCTATATATCATTTGTATTTTTTACATTCCTTTTAAAGTCTACAAAAGTTAAAAGCAAAAGCTGTTCTTTTGACAGCCTAACTTGTCTAGTTGCTGTTTAACCAAACCTGTAGTTTGCTGTAGTGTGAAAGAGTGGGTTTGAGGCCAGTGTTTTTACATTATTTACAAATTGTGTCCTCCCAGTCCCTTAACCTGCCTCTCCTTAGCACCTGACACCTGGTCTGGTATTTCTCTGGACCAAGTGGTTTCTGCTACCACTGTTGTGCCCATACTGCCAAAACAGTACCTAGGACAGGGGTGGAGTTTTAATGTTTGCTGACTGAATGACTGAACAAGGAGTCACAAAAAATTGTGATGAGGTCTTATAGGTGGTTATCCATTAGGCATCATGGGTTTTAAAGAACAGCTTGTGATAACGAGGTGTAAACCTCCCAGCACTCTGAGTGTATGCTGGCTGAGGCCTAGCCAGGACGCTGGAGGTGAGAGGATAGGTGTGCAGGAACCAAGACCAAGAGGTGAGAAAATCCAAAACAGTGACTAGAATAGAAAAGACATGATTGAAAGCTATATTTTTAGCAAATATGCCTTCTTTTAGGATTGGAAATAGTCTTTGAAAATTAAAGATAAAAACCACTTGAAAAATAGATCAGTTTATAAATACTGATGACTGCACATCCACACTGCCCCGTCATATGAGCAGTTGAAAATGGATGTACTAGAAGAGCATTCAGTCATTGGTTCTTTCAGATCACATGGAAAAAAAGACTTCTCCACTAAGCTAATTTCTTTTGGCTGCGTATGCAAATCCAGGAGAAATCATATTTAAAATGCGGGTAATGTATGACTAGTGTCCTAAATCTATTAAGACAATAATGTAAAAATTAAATATTGAAATGAATAGTAATTTTGGGGGGAAATATGTAGATTCAGAACTTATTTCTTCCTGTTAGTGGTGTGTGTGGGATGCCAACAGAGCCTTCAACCTCTACAGGTTAATAAATGAACAAGAAAGAACTTCATTCCCACATAACATCTTGCTTCCATAGTCTCACCGTGCCTAAAATGAATAATGTTTTTTGCTACCTTTGAATTTTCCTGATTGTTGACTCAGAATTCTGATTTGTCAGAAGAATACTTACTTCGGGTTCTGGTTCTCCAATTAAAATCAACAAGTAAACTGACCATTTGTATAGATTGTTCTATTCCTGAGGCTCCTTGGAGAGTATTAATGGTTCTATCCTTAATTTTAGGGGAAGTGCCAATAATTCAAGAGTACCTAGAAAAGACTAGTTATCAAAAGTCAAATTTAAAACCTTAAATTCTTTAAAGACTTGGAAAGTTAGTTTTATATAGAATTACTTTATTAAGAAATTTTCAAAGTAAAGTAGTTACTAAATATATTGTCTTAAGATTTTGTTTTTAACTTTAAAGTTTTCTTGGCCAAGTGATGATTTTGTGTGTGATTTCCAGTGCTCTGAGGATACCTCTATCACATTGAGGAAAAGATTACTAAACCTCTAATTAGTGTGTTGTTGTTTTTAATGTAAGTTAGAATAAGAGTTTTTATCCCATTTTTCATACCCAGTTCTTTATTTGGTGTCTAGCATAGTAATCTGACAGTGCCTGTGATTCAGGGTAAAAGGAGGCACAAAAGTGGTAACTAAAGGCAGAGATAACACTTTTCAGAATACTATTTGAGGATAAAAATAATACTTGCTTCACTATGCAAAATATTCCCTTTAACTGAAGAAGTTCGGTGTGGGTGATACTTCACTGTGGTGTGAGGTATTTGCACTTGTGTTCTAGAAGCTTGTTGAATGCTGCTGGGTGACCCTGTTCCCTGGGAAGCCCCTAAGTGTGTTTGGAGGGCAGATGGTGGGCCTCCTAGTGGAAGAACCTATGCTGCTTTAGTAGGGGTTCCCCACTCCCGTGTGAAGATTTAGAAAAGGAACTGCTTTGGGGTGGTTCTTGAGCAGGTGGCATTTATTTGCCTCTGTGCCTGGGTTTACCAAGCAGTTGAGAAACTTAACCCTTACCATGCTCTTTTTATTTTCCAGCTTCCCAAGGAACTGTCTTCAGAGACTTTTGACAAGACCATCCTGAGAGCCCTGAATCAGGGGTCACTGAAGCGGGACGAACGGCGACATCCTGATCTGGAGCCCATCTTAAGGTAATAGTTCGCTGGACACTGGTGTCACAGACGGCGTCGCTGCTGTCCGGGGACTTGGGGCAGATCACAGAGTCTTCCTCTGGAGCACTTTTTAACATGGTCGTCTTATCCTTATGTTGTTTAGGTCTTGAGTCACAGTAAAACACCAAACTAATTCTTTTATCATTTGTTCTCTTCATCTCTCTGAAATCAGAAAGATTTTTTCTAAAATATGCAAATATTCAGTGAAACCTCTTTTTTCCCCAGAGGGGGAATCATTTTTTAATTTATTTGTATGGCTAACTTGTGATCTCATTAAGATGTTAAACACTTCATTCTCAATGTGTGAATTTTAGATTAGTATCATTTGTCGTTTAAGAAATACACAAGTTATAATGGATAGGGGACAATGCAAATGAGAAATAGGAAATGGGTTTATAAGTGAAGTAGGGACAGGTTGATACAGCCACCCTGCATTCAGTCTGTACACTGATTCAAGCCTGGGCCTGTCTGTACCTCAGTTATGGTTCTCACAGTGGATTTGCAGTTAGTGTGTGCAGGTGGGATTTGGTCTGTCTCTTGGAACTCAGGCCTTGAACCAAAGGTGTGCCTGCTTATGGTTTTGACCAACTGGTTTGTAAATGTAAATGGAGAATCCACTGACTCTGGATTTTAGTCCCCAATTTTAGGCAGTGTGTTCAGACCTGGAAATTTAGATTAGCTTCTTACTTCATACCTTAATTTTTCTTCTGTTTATTTCCTTTGTCTTCCTGTTGAATATTTACCTCCACATTTTGAGTGCCAAGAGCAAGTTTGCTTTACATATAAGGCAACTTTGGCCCATAAGGGTCATATATTGGTGTAGAACTTAGTGACTTTATAATCTGAATGATAGATAAAAAACCTTGGGAAAGAGTTAAGAATTAAAATATTAAGGGAACATTTAAAGTGTTCAAAAATAATGGAAGGTGATTTGTATATTAAGCAACAGGGTGACAGTTTAGTTTACATATATTTTTGAGTGTCATAACCTTGAAGAATTGGTAGTATTGCCTATGAGGAAATTGAAGCTGAAAGGCTTGTTCAGGGTGATTCAGCTTTTCAGTAGTTGAGCTGCTGTTCAGATCAGTAAGTAAACATTCCATTAGACTGTGCTGTAACTTTACCTAGGGTCTTTTTTGTAGGGAAGACCTCCAGTTGGAATATTTTAATTGTACTAATAAAATATGAGGAATTCTGGTTTTCAAAGTTAACAGCCTAGAGTCATGGTGTGATACACATTGGAGTGAATTATTGCTTAGTCATGCCTTGGGAGATAGTAATAATGCTTGGAACTGACCTGACCACTATGCTCTGTAGTCTCCCTGACTCTTAACATCCCAGACTTCCCACCTCCTGTGTTCAGAGTGTAGGAAGGGTTATTTTTTCATGATACACCAAATGGTAAAAAGTCACACCTATGAGAACTGTACTGTTTCTGAACAGAAAGGCGGCCCACTTGGGCAAAAGGCTGAAGTCGTATACTCCTTTTGCCAGAATTGAAACCTTACCATTAGATTATACAAAATTAGAAATAAGCCTATTTATTAGATTCTTGCAAACAAAGTTTTGTTAACTTTTATTAAGTTCCTCTTGTGGGAACTACATTAGAAAATAATATTCGTTTTCTTAGGAAAACAATTTATTTTTTTATACCTGAATTAAATTGACACTTATGTTTGCTTTACAATCTCAACTGTGATTTTTGTGTATTTATATTTAATGAAATTAACAAATCTCCTTTCTTTTTATATGCAGGCAGCTATTTTCAACCTCATCACAAGCTTTTCTCCAGAGTCAGAAAGTCCACAGCTTTTTTCAATCCAGATCCTCAGACCCTCGACACAGTCTCAGTAAGCATCCTGCTCTTCTGCAGAAATATGTTTTCCTTCACCATGCCGTCTTGTATGGGGTGGTCATTTCAGTTAAAGTCAAGGAATGGTAGTTTACAATTAAGAAACATTGGTAGATTTAAGTGAATTTTATGCTGCAGTTTTAAAGAAAATAATATGTAAAAGCTATGGTCACAAAACAGACTGATTTCAAGATCGGGGACAAGTCTCTTGAATTCATGGACATACAGGATCACCAGGTTCCTTACAGACCTTGCCACAGTGCTGGTTGCTTGCTGCATAACGTACTCTTATACTCCGCCTTTCCCACTGGGTCCCCTACTCCCATGATGAACTCCTAGTCTCCCAGGCTACTAACCTCAGCCTTATTCTTTTCATTTTTCCTCTTCCTATGCAATCATTTAAAGGCCAAACAAAGGACACCTTCCTTTTCACCCTCTCCTTACCAAGCTCATTGTTGTCAGTGAAGCTTTTTTTTTTTTTTTTTCCTTTCTTTCATGAAGGGACTATACAAAGCCTAGCTCTTCTCTTATATTCTAATTTCTCACTGTACTTTAACCTATCTCAGGATTATCTCAGAGATCAAATTGTAAATTCCTATTCAAAACCTTGAAAGTTGGAAGACTGGGCAGTCACTCAATACACCTGCCATTTCCTGTCCCAGTGTTCTGGCTCATCTGCACTCAAACTTAATATGCTTCTTTTGTCACAGCTGTTAAAGTCACACCTATTTTAAGACCCAACTGAAATATTACCTCATGAAGTTTCTAGTTTTTTTTACGTTTCTGTAGTTTTATTTTACCTTTGTTTCAGCATTCATCACAGTCTGCCTTGTGTTTAGTTTTATACACGTCTATCTCAGCTACCTTTTAAAAGTAATATTTTACCAGTAACATTTTTGTGTGCTTTAGGAGAATTTCTGCCAATTTTAACCTCAGCTACTATAGCAAGTAGCTGAGTTGTGTTTTCTTAATCTTCTGTTTTCAAAAAAATTATATTTTCCTATATTTAAAGGGAAAGAAAATACATGTTTTCTCAATTTTAGGTGGGAAAGAGGTAAAAGAATAATATGATTGCATATTATAACATATGGGTTAACTTTTAAAGTTTTGAATCATCTGTGTACATATGTTTGCCTTAAATATTTTAAACAAATGGTAGCAATTAGAATTAATGATTCTTCTTTACTTCTAGACTAAGAGAAAATGAACAACTCCATGGTTAAATTTACATCAGAATAGTAACAATAGCTTTTATATATATTTGTTGATATGATATCAAAGAGTAAGGGGGGGAGAGAGAGAAAGAGAGAAAAACATCAATGATGAGAGAGAATCATTTATCGGCTGCCTCCTGCACACCCTCTACTGGGGATCGAGCCCGAAATCCAACAGATGTCCTTGACCCTGGGACCCTTCAGTTCACAGGCTGATGCTCTTATCCACTGAGCCAAATAAGCTAGGTGATAATATCTTTTTAAAAAGAAATCCGGTCATTCTAGAGTATATAGATTTAACAATCAGTGCTTTCTCCTTACACCAAGTTTAAGTACTTCTTATTGACTACTTACCTATAAATCATGCCTGACTAGTTCTAAAAAAGGCCTTGGTGCACAAAATTAAACTTTTAATTCAGGTTTTAATAGGCTGCCCAGGAAAACTTACCCCAGTGAGTAATATATACATAAGTGACAGAAAACTCATCTTGAGAGCTTAGCAGTATTTAAATGACATGAGCAGTGAATGCTAAAGAAGCTGGTAGATCTTGTTTTAAGATACCAAGTTGTCAAAATAATGTCTTGAAGTATACATTTTGAGATTATGGACAATCTGGTCAGTGTCGAAGCTGTTTCACCAAAGAACATGTTATTGTCAAAGTTCATTTACCCTCAGTCTTTTGAAAAATAATAGCTCTATCTTTTTTTCCCCCTGTGGGAGAGAGAGCAACATTCCACAGCCTGACAACTGAGAAAACAAATATTAAATTCCTAAATTACTTCAAATGTCGAATTCTGGAATCCTTCTGGAATCCATTGCTCTTACAGTGTTTTCTGTGGGTCAGTCCTGGTCCACAAATGGTTGTCACTGGACTGTGATAAAAGAATGAAACTAAGAGTAGACATCTACTCTTTTGATATTGCCACAACATTATTACTGTATTTTATAAAAGTAATGACCCACAACAAATTAGACATTTAAAAAGGTTTCATAACACTACAAATGTCTGAGAAGCACTTGAGCATGTGGGGTAAGGGAGAGATGGGGGACTGACAGATGTCAAGCATCTGCTTCAGTCCTGTGGTTTTTATGAGGAGACCTGTCTCCACAAATCAGGGTTGTCACTCCTGCCCAGTGCTGTCATTTTATTTCTTAAAGGTTCTATTTTACTAACTTCACTCGAGCCTTCCCTGGGAGAAAAATAATCATTATATTTGTTTTCTTTATCATAATTTTCCTAAAAAGTTAATGGTATTAAATACTTACTACAGATAATTTACAACCTTCTCTGAAGACTTCCAAGATATTAGAACACTTAAAAGAAGACAGCTCAGAAGCTTCAAGTCAAGAAGAAGGTAAATGTCGATTTACTGGAATAAGTCCTTCTGCCTGGTTATAGAACAGGGATAAGCAAACAGACCATTAAAACAGGTTAAGGAGCTGAGAAACAGACATAGGGAAACTTGGTATGTGACAGGTAGCATTACAAATAAGTGGGGAAAGAATACACTATTCAGTAAATGATGGCTAGTTTTCCAATAAAAAAAAATGCTATCCTATATAATAAAAGCCTATGTGGTCATGACACCCTCAAGCCATGATGCCCTCATGCCATAACAACCCATCACCAGGAGGCTGTGTGCACAGCAGGTGCGTGGTTGGGCGGGGCTGCATGTGCAGCGAGGCATGCATGGGTAGGCGGGGACTTGATGTTATGTGTGTGTGCTGGACGCAGGTCCCACAGTTCCACATGCTGAGGCCTGGGATCCCGCGGCTCTGTGGACCAAGGCCTGGGGTCCAGCAGGCGCAAGCGGGGGCCTGACACTTCGAGGACCCCCCTCACCCCCGAGTGCATGAATTTCATGCCCTGGGTCTCTAGTGTTTGTGTGTGTGTGTGTGTGTGTGTGTGTGTGTGTGTGTGTGTGTATATATATATATATATATATATATATATATATATATATAAAATTAGATGTGAATTACAAATTAAATATAACATAGAAATGTAATGTAATATATAAAATATAAAACTTAAACATTTAAACATTATATCTGGGATAAGAAAGCTTTCTTGACAAGATGAAGCATGACCTGCCTGCCCAGTGTGGTTTAATGGCTGAGTATTGACCTATGAACTAGGAGGTCACAGTTCGATTTTCAGTCAAGGCACGTGCCTGAGTTGCTGGCTCAATCCCCAGTAGGGGAGCATGCCGGAGGCAGCCAATCAATGATTCTATCTCATCATTGATGTTTCTCTCTCTTTCTCCCTCTCCCATCTGTATATTTAAAAATAATAATACAATATACAGATGATATGTTATAAAATTGTACAACTGAAAATTATATAATTTTATTAACCAATGTTAGCTCAGTAAATTCAATAAAAATAAATAAAATTGGTAGACTGCTTGATCAGTTGCTATGATGTGCACTGACCACCAAGGAGCAGATGCTCCAATTGGTAGGTTGCTGCTGGGGTCTGGGTGAGAGGGCCAGACATGCCCCTGAGGCTGAGGGACCCCACCCATGCATGAATCTGTGCACTGGGCCTCTAGTTTTAAAAATAAAAACAATGATATATCCTTTCACATTCTTTGGATTGGCAAACATTTTTTATTTGACATCAAGGATATCAAGTAATGGGAATTCTCATCTGCTGATGGGAATATAAATTGTCACAACTGTTTTGGACAGAAATTTGACATTGTGTAGTGAATGTAAAGGTAATTAATTTTATGCTACTGCTCGGCAATTTTACTTCTGTGAAAATTGTCCATGGGTCAGGGTACAGGGACGGAGGTTCTCAAGATACCATTGTGTGTAATATCAAATGGATATTAACACAAATGCTTTAAATGTTAATAAAGTTATAAGTAAATTGTGTGACATATTTATATTCATGCTAGATGGCATTTAGCATAGTTATAGTATATCCAAACATGTAACACCACTGAATGTGTTTGTGAATACAAATAAGGATAGTTGAAATAAAAATCGTCACTTAAATATTTTCACTCGTTCACCTCGGTAGAGAGAGGGAGTTGAATGGAAGAGGGCCTTCAGTTGCTTCTGTGATATTTTGTTTCTTAATAAAAAGAGACTGAGAAATCTGGAAGGTGGGTACATGGGTGTGTGTTATATTAATAGATGTATATTTTTGATATTTGAGGCACTTTACTTTTTTGTTTAAAAAAAGGAGCTTAAAATTGAATGTTATAGTTTTGCAGTGGTATGCTCCTAGTAAACGTTCGTAGTTTTGGAGGGTAGTTAAAGAAATACAGTCATTTATTGTATCTTTTAAAAATTTATTCTTTAAGGAATTATCTTTGAAAAGCACTCTGCCAGGTCTGTTGACAGTGTTCATTGTCACATAAATTAGTTGCATGATCCTGTTGTAGTTTTGCAGAAGCCTTTGGTACAGCAAAATTTCTTTCCTTCACTCTAGATGTATTACAGCACACCATAATCCATAAGAAACACACGGGGAAGAGTCCCACAGTGAAGTAAGTATCTAATTCCCAAAAGGAGAGATGTCTCTGCTTTTTAAATCAGTATCTCATTTACTTTACTTACTGATAGTTGGCTATAATTCTACCATGTTATTTGCTTGTTATTTGCTGTATATTTTCTCCTTTTTTTAAAAAAAAATTCTTTTTACTTTATTAGCCTTGGTCATTATACATTGTTTTTTTTTTTGTTTGTTTGTTTGTTTGTTTTCATTCTAGTGGTTGGTTATCCTGGAGATTATATTGTACATCTTTAACTTATAAAGATGTGATATCCGTTATACTTGTACCACATACCATGTGAAGATCTTCAATTAACTTCACTTATCTTCTCTCAACTTACAAACTATAGCAGTCATGTATTTTAATTCTGTCTATATTTTAAACCTCATGAAACCTTTTTTTTTTTTTAATTAATTTAGCATTGACCATTCCATTGTTCTTCATTCCTTCCTGTGTGTCTGGTTTACCCATCAATGTTTGTTTTCCATTTACCTGAAGAAACCTTGAGTTTATTTCCTATAATCATATCTGCCAGTGATGAACTCACTTTGTATCTGTAAAATATATTTATTTTGCCTTTATTTTTTTTATGTGCATGTTTCCTGGGTATAAAATTCTAGGTTTGCAATTATTTTCTGTTAGCACTTTGAAACTCTACAGGCATACCTCATTTGATTGCACTTCACAGATATTGTGTCATTTACAAATTAAAGGTAAGACCCTCCACAAGCATAAAGATTTTAGCTCGCTGAAGGCTCAGAAGGTGGTTATTTTTTTTTTTAACAATAAAGTATTTTTTTTTATTTTTTTTATTTTTTTTACAGAGAGGAGGAGAGAGGGATAGAGAGTTAGAAACATCGATGAAAGAGAATCATCTATCAGCTGCCTCTTGCACACACCCTACTGGGGATGTGCCCGCAACCAAGGTACATGCTCTTGATCAGAATTGAACCTGGGACCTTTCATTTCGTAGGCCAACGTACTATCCACTAAGCCAAACTGGTTTTGGCATAATAAAGTATTTTTTTAATTAAGGATGTACATTGTGTTTTTATACATAAAGCTATTTATTGCACACTTAATAGACTACATACAGTATAGTGTAAACATAACTTTTGTATGCACTGGGGAACCAAAAAATTTGATTTGTGTGATTTTTTTGTTTTGTTATATTTGCTTTACGGCTGTGGTCTGGCACCAATAATATCTCCTAGGTGTACCTTTAGTTTTACTGTCTCCCAATCTAATACCTTTGGTCCCTTACATCATATCTTTTTTACCCAGCTCTGATTTCTTCTGCAAATTACATAAAGTCAGTCATTTATATTATTTCTTTTAAAAAATATATCTTATATTGATTTTTTTACTGAGAGGAAGGGAGAGGGAGAGAGAGTTAGAAACACTGATGAGTGCCCGCAACCCAGCTACATGCCCTTCACTGGAATCGAACCTGGGACTTTTTAGTCCATAGGCCAACGCTCTATCCACTGAGCCAAACTGGTCAGGCCATTTATATTATTTTTGACGCCCCTCACATTACTATTGTCCCACCACAAGCCCTACCACAAGAGTTTTCACCTTCTGCCTCAGGGCTTTGGCAGATTCTTTCGGCCTTGCTTGCCCTCAAGAGGTACTAGTTAATTTGCCTGGGGGCCAGGATCAGTTCTCTACTGATAGAGGAGATCCAGCTTCCTTTGGGTAGCTGAGAGGTCACAGCTGATTTAAGCTGCTCCTGCTTGTAGTGGCACCGTCAGTAATGGACCCCTCACATTGGTTTTTCTTCCTCTCCTACTTCATTTACCCATTCCTTGATCTTGTTTCCTGGGATCATCTCCCAGATTAACTATGACATTACAGCTCTTTTTTAGGGGAAACTCACATTTAAGACAGCTGGCATCCATTGTTTCATCTTATAGTTGTTCTTTGGAAGTTCGTGTGCATTTTCAAGCTCTTTTTAGATTTTTCTCATTGTCTGGTTTTCAGTAGGTTTTTTTTTTACAATATCTTTGTAGTTTTCTTTGAATTAATTCTGCTCCTTGATCCTGAGGCTTGATACTTTTTGGTTTTAGAGAAGTCCGAGCATTACTTCAGATATTATTTTGCCCTATTCTCTTCCTCCCTCTTCCAAGATGTGGTGTGCCTATGTTAGACTTTTCATCGTGTTTTTCATCTATTTATCCATTCATTTCTTAAATTTATTTCATTTTACAGTTCTAGAATTTTAATTTGGTTCTTTTTAATATAGCTTTATTGATTTCAGAGAGGAAGGGAGAGGGAGAGAGAGATGGAAACATCAATGATGAGAAAGGACTATGGATCAGCTGCCTTCTGCACGCCCCACACTGGGGACCAAGTACCCTGACCAGGAACCGAACCCTGACCTCCTGGCCCCATAGGTCAACTCTCAGCCACTAAGCCATGCTTGCCAGGCTGGTTCTTTTTTATATTTCCCAGTATTCTTGTAATCATTGATCCTGTTAAGCACTATTGTTTAAAAATCCACCCATAGTAACTTCATTCTGGATTCTCTTTGTGTCTGTTTCTTTTTTGTCTGTTCCTTTTCAGTCACATTATCCTGTCCCATCTCATGCCTTAGATGTATGTAGTACTTGGTGATTCTCTCAAGATTGGGGTTACACCCCAACTATAAGTGGTGCAGGATGGCCATTGCTCAGAGTCTAAAGACAATACACAACTGTCATTAATCTCCTTAGAGACAGGGGTTTATTATTAAATAGGTAAGATAGCTGTATACTGGTTAATTCTCATAGTATACTTGTTTCCTATAATATATTCTGTATATAGTAAAGAAAGTGTTACTATAGCTTCCTCAATAATCATATAGTAGGTTAGATTATTGAGAACAGATATTCATGCTTGTATAAACTTTCTTTTTGATAGTACCATTGGTACAAGTTGTTCTCCATTGGATGGGCTGTCTGTGCAGTATTCTGAAGAGAATGGCATTGTGGACTGGAGGAGCCAAAGCTGCGCCCCCATTCAGCACCCGGAGCACTGTGCAACCTTACCTGACCAGGTATTTATGGGGGCTTTGTTTTGTCTTCATGCCATATGGTTAAAGCATTGCTACTCAGAAAGAATAGAGTTCTGTAGGCACTATTATGTCAGAGAGTATATCTGGTAAGAATGACTGAAGGAATGTTTGTGTTAGACTTCAAATTTAATTGGTTTATATGATCTAAGCTCTTCTGAGACCTGAAAAGTTTATTTAGATTACTTTTATTGCTCAAAAAATTACTACATTTTAATATGATGCCTAAAACATTAATTCTAACTATGGATACATTAAATTGTTATGTTTTTTTTACTCGCTTTTGAAATAATTAATTCACACCTCTGTCACTATATTGCTACTGGTGATGCGAATTTTAAAGCTGACCTTCCCTCATGAATAGTTGGGCCAGTTGCTGGCCCTCCTGAGTGTAATGAGGACATACTCGCTCCCTTAGGGTATGGTGGGATCAGAAAGCACAGTGCTCTCAAATGTGTTCAGATAATATGGCACCCCACGTGCAGGGAGAGTGCTTACTGGTGCAGTCATGGAGAGAACCACTTTCTCTCTAAAGAATGGAGTTGTTAACCAGATTTTCATTTCTGGACAATACTCAGATCCAAATGTTAACCTTTACTGGAATGTTTATGAACTAAAGCTTTAAAGCATATTTTGAGAAAGTGTATGTTTTCTTAATCATACTTAATGGCCTGTTTTCAGAGTATATCCTTTAAAATTGTTCTGCCTCCACTTCAGCACCTGCACACCTTTTCTTGTTAGAGTTGACAAAATCATGTATCACAGTTTTACCAACCTGAACTTTAAGAAAATACTAAGTAAACAGATAGCAAGTCACTTGTGTTTTATGTAGTCAGAAGAAAATTCAAGTCTATTTTAAAAGCAAAATATTAAATAGATATTTTTCTTCTCATGATTAACAATATGAAGTATTTGTATGGGATTATAAAAATCTTAGTGGTTCTGATAAGTTGAAAAATAAAAATTTATTAGAATATACATCTTGGAATGTATCATTTTAATATTTTTAAAAATATATTTTATTGATTTTTTACAGAGAGGAAGGGAGAGAGATAGCTAGAAACGTCGATGAGAGAAACATCAACCAGCTGCCTCTTGCACACCCCCCACCGGGGATGTGCCTGCAACCAAGGTACATGCCCTTGACCGGAATCGAACCCGGGACCTTTCAGTCTGCAGACAGACGCTCTACCACTGAGCCAAAAACAGTTTTGGCTCATTTTAATCTTGGTAGCAGAATAAGAGGATACCTTCCAAACTGAGGCATTAACTTTAGTCTGATTTCCTTCTATTCTCTCCACTAGCATTCAAGTGAAAAACGAAGCTTATCTTCAATAAATAAGAAGAAAGGAAAGCCACAAGTAGAAAAGTAGGTTCAATTTTATGTCTCCAGTAATAGAAATTGGTAAGAAAGGGCAACACAGAGCATTTGTTTATGGGCATATTTAATTTATGTAGTATAAGTAGTATTTTTCCATTTGTTTTCTTTATATTTTTACCTCTGGGCTTTATTTTTTAGTGCAGAATAATCAACAAATGCAAGTGATAAATAGAAAGCTCTTGTCAAATACTATATTCAGTTTGGAGGGGCAAAACTCTCAAAACTGGACATCAAATCTTGCTTTTAGAGTATACCTTACTAAAAAAAGTTTTAATTATAAAAATGAGGGGAATTTTAGTAATACTACTATACTTAATGTGTTGGTAACTTGTATGCTTTTGATTTAGAGAGAAAATTAAGAAAACTGACAACAGATTGAATAGTAGAATAAATGGTATTAGACTCTCTACACATCAGCATGCCCAGGCTGGTTCTGTGAAAGGTAAGAATGTTTGTACTCACTTCAAATACCCATTGCCGAAATGTCTTTAGTATATCTTCTGTAGTAGGAATTGAGCTGTTATGTTAAATCCTGACATGCTTTTATCCTGTGTTGATGTGAATAGCAGTGTCTGAATTAAACAGTTCTGAAGTATTAATGAATGGCATTAATATAGGAAATATGACTCGGCCATGGAGTGTACTACAGTTCTGCTGACCCAGCTCTTCTCTCCTCTGCTGCCAGCAGCCTTCTCGCCTGTTATCGTCTCAAGCTGGTCCCTGCTCCAGAGGAGAGGTCCAGGAGACCTGGCAGGCCTTTCCCACCCTCCTGGCACCTGGGACCCATTCTTATAGAAAGTCATTTTTAGAATCTGGTCACTTTTTCATGTTTAATGACTGTCCTATGGAGTTTTATGGTACTTTAGAGGAATTCAGATCCTCATACTCTTGTTGTACTAGATTTGTGTGATTTTCATTTATCCACTGTTATTTTAAGATCCCTTTATTTTTAGGTGAAAGGTTATGTGTTCATTTGACTGAGAGATGGTTCATTGATAACTTTTCTGTGTCAGTTGACCTTTACTATTAAGAGTAAAGATTAAAAAAAATAATATAAGCCCACAGACTACTAGGAGAATGTTTTGTGCATTTGTGTACCTAATACTGGACTGATCGCACAAATAAGGATTTAAAATTGAGGTGTTATTTAAATGTTACTGCATTAAGATATGATGCAACATAAATAACCAGAATGTTTTTAATTGAGTGTTTTTTTTTAACTAGATATTTTAGAGAGCTTGAATAAAGGAAATGTGGTTAATTTTTACTATAAAATCATCGGACCAACTCATTGAATGAATTAGCTGTCTTTGCGGGGGATGCTGCGGGGAATAGCATGAGGGGGAAAATCCATGTAGTTTAGGAATATATTTTAACATTGTGATGTTTCTTGTGGTGATGGCAGCTAAAAGTAGGAGGAAAAAGCTGAAATAAGACAAAAGGTCTCTCTGCCAATGGATGATTGGAAAAGCTTTTGCCAGGTGTCCCTGTTGTCCTTGCCTCCTTCGTGTTTTTTTCCTACACTGCCACTGTATTGTCTTCTAAAGCATATGCAATAAATCAGGTCATTCTCCAGTTGAAACTCTTGTCAAATACAGAGGTGGGCAAAAGGAGGTTTACAGTGGTTTGTATAGAAAGATACTAAGTAAATAATACAAGAAAAACTGTGTTCTTCAGTTTTACTCACAACTGTAAATCTACTTTATATATACCACTTTCACAAGATCACTCTCTCTTGTCTCTCACATAATTTGGGAACTGGGACTCACCAAAGAAGTTTGTGACACTTCTCTCCTTTTTAGCTTCATATTTTCAGAGGAGAAATGTGTGGATTTTAGTCTCGGACAGATATGCATTTCAATCTTGAACTCCACTGGTTTCTTAAATGTGTGGCCTCTCTGAAGCCTTAGTTTTCTCATTTGAAAAACAGGACTAATGCCTACTTCAACAGATTGTAAAAAATTTATTGTGAAAGAATTTAGCTAGCACCGAGTACATAGGTGTTCAATAATTTAGTTCCTTTTCACTAGTTAAGTTAAAAGAACACATATGCTAAAAAGTTTTAAGAACTTTTTTAATATCTCAAGTTCTAATTTCTCTGTTTTCAAATATTATGAAAGTATAACTTCAGGATGTTTAAGATAAACTTTATTCTGTCTGTTTTATCTTGTATATACATGTCACTGATTCATATATACTTAGAGTTATAGAGCATAATTATAAATAAAATATACCTTGTACAACTTGTCTCATTGATGTCAAATGTAGCTCAGGTGTTTGCTGTCTCCAACTTATGAAAAACTCTGTTATTTCTCCTTAAAATATTAAGGTATTAAGGAATTACCTAAAGCATTCAATAAACTCACAATATGTTTTGATTTCGTTTTTTACGGAACAATCATGCATATCATAAAATGTGGATACTAGATTGAAAAACTGAAAATACGGGGCCCTGATTTGTATGTTGTTCAGATCTTTAAATAATTCAGTCTAGTTTAAGATGAGTATTTGTTTTTAATTTAAAATTTTAACTTCTATTTTGAGTAATAATACATTCATGTAATTTGAAATTCTAAAGGTACAAAAAGGAGCAAAATAATCCCTCACAGTCCCCCTCCATGTTGCTGCCTTTCCAAAAGCTCTCAGTGCTGGTCATCATCAGTTTTCTTTACAGTGTTTTTGCTTTAAAACGTCATGTGTTAACTCTCTGCTGAAGAGATGTATGATTTACCTTGTCTACGCTATTAAAAACTCTGTTCCAGTGTATCACCCATATTTCTTCCACCCCGCTCTTCTGTTGCTGATTGTGGCACCAAAAAACTTGAGGAGAATGAGGTGGTTGACTTCTCAATTTTTTTTAAAAAGGCTTTAGTCATTTAAATGTCTCCAACTTTCTTTAATTGTGGTCTCATGTACCTAAACAGTTAAGTGTAATTTCTATTTGTTCATATATACTAATTACTAGAATTTTTATTGTTAGAATAGTGGCTAATGTAAGTTTTTGCTTTTTGTCTTCTTGCATGATCTTTTACCCTGTGAGACAACATAACAAATAAAGAAGTTTATATCTCTATTTATAAGGGCAATTTGTGGAATATCCTTTGGCATATCCTCACCTTCACACCTTCTGTTTTTAGGGTATCACATAATTTCTCATAAAAATTCCAAAGACTACACAATTCCTAAAAGATTTTCAAAAAGAGAAAATTATATTTAGTGTGGATTTAAATTTATGTATTTAGTTATTTGAAAACTACAAATTAATATGTGATAATTTGGTGATTTGAATGTTTACTAGCTATATAATCTAAAGAAAATAATTTTTAAAATTGTGTCATTTTGAGAAATAGCTGCTTAAAAGCACACACGCACACACGTTCTGTAGTTTCACTGTCTGAGTTTTAGTGAGCAAATCTGAGCTCACCTGACCCACTGGTTTCTATTTTAGCCTGTCATTTTTTGTTTGAGACTATCATGTTGTCTCTTTGATTATCCTAATCCTTATATTGTTAATTTTGTTATATGCTGGTTGAAATATTTATATGCAGAATTTCCATATGTGCCACGGTTTTAGGTTTCAATGTTGTTGTCCATTTTAATGCCAAGTTTTGGCCATTATGGCACATAAGTTTGTCTCCGGGTAGCCATTGGTGTTGATGTGCATCCCTTGGTCACACCGAGATTGGTAATTCAAAACCTATTATTGTACACTAGAGACCTGGTGCACAACATTCGTGCACTGAGGCAGGGAGGGGCCTTCAACCCGGCCTGGGCCCTCTTGCAGTCTGGGACCTCTTGGAGTACGTCACCTGCATCTGCTGTGCTTGACATCTGTGAACCTGGCTTCTGGCTGAATGGCGCTCCACTGGTGGGAGCACACTGACCACCAGGGGGTAGCTCCTGTGTTGAGCGTCTGCCCCCTTGTGGTCAGTGCACGTCATAGTGACTGGTCATTCTGCTGTTCGGTCTATTTGCATATTAGCCTTTTATTTTATAGGATAAGTATACTCCAGGTTACTTTTCTGTAAAATCATTATTTGCCCAATAACTAACTCCTCAGCCACTTACAGCCTCATGAGATTTTGTTCAATTTTTCTGTGGTAGTTTGGCATTTTATTTCTCAAAAGGAATTAGCAATATTTAATGACTTTATTTGTTATTTGGTATTTATTCACTATTATAGGTGGCTAGGCTAGGTCATCTTTTAACAATTGCTGCAAATTTACTCCCTTCAAAAGGCACAGCTTAGTCAACTAACTTGGTCATCACAAACCATATCTTTTCTCTAACATATATTTTGTCCAAGTGATTAGTAGTTATTATCTTTCATTGGTTTTACCAAGTTGCCATGGAAATAATTCACTCATCTATAATTCTAAAAGATCCCTCTGAAATCCCTCTTTTGGGGATTTATGCACTAACCTATTCACTAAGCAAGTTGAATGCTGTTGCAAGGCAGAAACTATGGATTTACAGAAATGAATAGGACAATGCCCTAAATTAGGGATAGTGCGGGGTTGTCCTATACTATGTACACCAATAATCTTGCCTCTATACTCAAAAGAGATGTAGCTAATTCATCATGACAGGTTTTACACTTCACCCCCAACACTGCCTCTGAGTCACCTTGGCTTCTAGGCAGAACTCAAAAGAGCTACTCAGTCCACTCCTTTTGAATACTCAGGCATAGTAATTTTAACTGAATGGGCATTTTTTGGCAGTCAGTTCTATTCTTGAGGTCTTTTAAAGAATGAATGTCCAACAAGTTCTGAGAAGTTAAAATATCTAGACTTCGAAAATGGCCCAGTATGCTGTTGTTATTGAACAAGACCTTACAAGGAACCTTAACTCTGATTTTTTAAAAGTCAATAATATTGACATTTTCCTCTGCCTTTGTTGTTTTAAGAATGTATTTATAAATTATTTTCAATTAAGATTGTGATTTAATAGTGAATTTTTTCCTAGATCAGATACCAGCTTTTTAGATAATTGTAGGAAAACTGAAACAAAAACAAAAAATTACAGATGTAACTTATTTCTACTGGTTCAATTCAGAATTTAATTTAACTACTTAACATGATTTTTTAAAATAGAATTATTATTTTTAGATGCGAATTTGGACATTGGATCTGGACATGACACATGTGGAGAAACATCTTCAGAGAGTTACAGTTCTCCCTCTAGCCCACGACATGATGGAAGAGAGAGTTTTGAAAGTGAAGAAGAAAAAGACAGAGGTTTGCTCTTTGGAGTGAACATGGGGGTAGTGGAGGGTAATATGTGTTGTCTCTTAAAATCAGTCATACATAAGTAATTTTATGTTCTCATAAGTATCGTTATTGATTTTTAATTTAATTGGTATAAAGAGTGTATGGACCATTGACTTAGCAGGTCCTGGTAATGTTGTTTTTTTGTTTTTGTTTTTTAACATTTCACTACGTATGAAATTAAAAAAGAAAGAAGATGGTCATAACAAAATGTATATATAGTGTAGAAAGATTAAAAACTGATATGTTATTGGATGCATATATATTTATAATTTTAATGTCTTTCTGATGAATTGATGCTTTTATCATTATAAAATATCCTTTGTCCCTATAACAATTTTTTTCTTAATTTTTATATGATAGTAAGATAGCCACGTTAGCTCTTTTGGATATTGTTTGTAGGGTACCTCTTTTTTCATCCTTTTACTTTAAACCTATTTGTGTCTTTGAATCTAAAGTGTATCTCTTAATAGACAACATATAATTGGGTTATGATTTTTTAGCCATTCTGCCTACCTTTGTCATTTGAAGTGCTTAATCTGTTTAAATTTACTGTCATTATTGATAAGTTATGATTTACACTCTGCCATTTTGGTATTTGTTTTTTGAAAGTATTATATCTTCAATTCCTCCTTAAACAGAGGCTCAAATACAGTCAAACGTGATAGCCTTCCTAAGTATTTCCTGGGCAAGCATACAACCCTAGACAATGAGTGTGACCTTCTAGGTTCCTAAGAATATATCAGAAGCTTTTCAAAGTTCCCTATGGACATCTCATTCTCCAGTGTTTCTTCTTCAGTTTTTCCTTTTGTTAGCCCTAACTGGTAATAATGCCTCAGGAAGCCAAGTTGTTAAGTTGCTGCTGATTGTTTGTGACCAATGCCCTGTTAATAAAAGCCTGTTAACATAGTGTTAGCTGAAGTTGCCAGTCAGATAGTGACATTCCCTTGGGCCTGGCTTTTAGAGAGGTCCAAACCCATGCTGCTCTGGCTGCTAGGCTGTTGGCTTTCATAACTACTGTAGTTGTAAGACTGATAGTTACAAAGCTACTTCAGAGCTGGAGAAAGTGAATTAGAATTAGGTCAGGTAAAATGCCACAGTTCTTGAGATTCAGCTGTTTTTCTTGAATAAATACTCAGACTGCTGCAAGTCGTTAATCTCCAGAGTTCTGAAAAATTTGATTTTGACACTTTTTGCCAGCATTCTTGTTGCTTTTAAGGAGTGGAGGATCAGAAGCCCCTACTCTGTTCTAGAAGTGAGATCTCAAAAATGTATAATTTGAATGAGATGCCTTTTTTACACATGGTGATGATATCTGATTGGTGACATCTTGGTTATAGGTTTCCCGTGCTGGTGGGCAGTAGTAAATTATTTCTCTTGGTCACTTGAAGATCTCTGGAGATCCTTGGAACACAGCATTTAAACCACATGTGGCTTCTCCTCGGCAGGCCACAGCTGAGACCCTAGCTTTTGTGTTACAGTGTCAGGTCTTGTCTAAGAACGGTGGCAATTGTGCTGCTGGCTCACATACATTTAGCCACTCTTTATTTTACAATTCAAGTCATACCACGTGTCACATGCAGTGACTCTACCCCCAATTCCAACAGTCTACAACATCACTGCATCACTGCAAGTACGTCTGTACCCTGGGTTACTTTACAGCATTCCTTTTTTGTCATCTTTAGGGTGAGTTGGTGGCCTGTATAGAGGAACTTGCCCTTTTTTGGATAGGCCCAGTTATCAGTGACTAAATGAACCTTCCCTAAATGAAAACTTATGGGACTCTCTAAACCCACAGGGGGTGAATATCCACTATGATTTATTTTTTAAAAAGCTTTGATTTTAAGGGCATGAAAAGGTTTCTTTGAAAAGCATGTGGCTTTGTTCTTATTGTTTCTAATGGAGTATTGTTTTGAGACTTTGTACTTTTTAAAGTCAACACACACAAAAGGATGAAACCTCTCTCTCTCCAGCTAGATGAGCCGTTACAATGCCCAGAAAATCATTTTGGGACCACTTAAAATCACGGGTCCATTTGCTGTGGCTTAAGATTTAGATGCGCTTTTCTCTTGGGATCATGCCCAGGCCTTTCAGTCCTCCACTACTTCCCCCAGCACATCACCTTTGATTGCCCTCTCCTAAGCTCCAAGCACCATCCTCCTTTTGGTTCTATAATTTGTTTCCTGAGCCTACACAGCCCAGCTGGCTCACTTCTACTACCTCTGTAATTTCTTAAATAAACTTTCTCTTATAATTTGAAAAGCAAAACAAAACAGTTTATATAGAAATTTAATTGACCATCTTAAAATTATTACAGCTTTTTTTTTTTTTTTTACTTAAATGTTTCTTTAACTCTGTACTCATAACGATGGTACAGATATAGATATAATGCCCTAAATAAGTTACTAACTTTTGGATACATTTTGTTTTGTAAAGTTTAGCAATAAACACTTAAGCTATTAAGGGGAGTTTATGCTAGAACCATTTACTCATAAATTGAATCTCTTCCCTCTGATGTAAATTATAATAGTTGAATTAACAACACCGTGATGTTTTATCACTGAGTAGGTTCAGTTTAACCATTTTCCAGGGAGACTTGAATGATTTGTTTTTAGTGTATTGTTTAAAAACATTTTTAACATCTTAGCTCAGTATAACTAGTTTTGGTCTTAATAAATCTAAACATTTCAGTATTACAGTTCTGCTTATATATTAGCAGAGAGATGTTCATTGCATGGTCTCTGTACATATTATTGCAGTATCTGGCTTTATGATATTTAAATATTGTGAATTAGATTTTATGTTTTGCCCTCTTTATACCAAAAGTCAGGAAATTCAGGACAAGTCTGGATTGAAGTTATTTCTGCATGCAAGCATAAGTCTGATACAGTAATAAAAACTAGTGGGGTTAAATTTTGTCTCTGCCTATGTCGTTTTGCTCTCAGGAAGAGCAGTGCTCGTATGCCTGCCCCGCTTCCTGGGTTCTAGCACATTTGTTTTATGACTCTAATAAAAGCTTTAAATTTTCTTTACCCCACTGAAATATATAAAAGTAAGAATATGTATTGCATTCTGAAAAAAACTCTTATATTCCCGACCTCTAGATATTTGAGTTAAATACAGTCTTGACTGGGCTCCTTTAAATGGTATTATTTATGTGAGACAGATAGGAAGCCTTTGGATTTTGTAGTACAGAATATAAATCAAGTGAATTGCCTAAAATTGATTAAAGTTAAAAATATCTAATCCTTTTCTCAGTAATAAGGTGATATTAAATAAATCTCTGTATTTTACATTGCACGTCATTCAGCCAACAATTAACCTTTTGTTACTTTACCTGTTGATTTTTTTTATTATTAAAGATATTATTTTTGTAGAGCAATTTTAGATTTACAGTAAAATTGAGAGGAAAGTACAGAGATTTCCCATCTACCCCGTTCCTCCCACACATGAATAACCTCCCCCATTTTCAACATAACTCACTAGAATAGTTTGTTTATATTTACCAAGAATGAACCTCCATTGAACAGCGTTATCATCTAAAGTCCATAGTTTACCTGAGAGTTCACTTTTTGTTCTTGTTGTTGTTAATCCTCAACAGAGGATTTTTTTTTTTTAAGAGAGAGAGGAAAAGGGGGAGAAACATTTATGTGAGAGAAACACATTGATTGGTTGCCTCCCACACACTGGCCCTCCAGGGCAGGGGATTGAGCCCATGACTCCAGTGTTTGGGTCTATGCTCTATCCACTGAGACACACCGGCCAGGGCTGAGAGTTCACTCTTGATGGCATACTTTCAGTGGCTTTGGATAAATGATTAATGACATTAATCTGTCATTACCATATCACAGTGTTTCACTGCCTAAAAATCCGTGTTCCTCCTAGTCATCTCTCCCCCACTTTCTACCCCTGGCAGCCACTGATCTTTCTGTTGTCTCCACATTTTCCAGAATCTCTTGTTTTTTAAAATCTCTGTATTTTTAAAATAAAGTTCATAGAAACACAAAAATTAAAATAGGGTCAGTTTGGCTTTTAGGAAGCTTAGGGGACACGTTTCCTCCAGTTCCAAACTTCAAAGTTCATTTTAGGTGGACTGAAAATTAGTTTCCAGCAAGAGAAATGGGAGTTAACATTTGTGTTAACATGTATTTCTATTTGTTTCCCTCAGACACAGACAGCAATTCTGACGATTCTGGGAATCCATTGGCAACCAGGTTTACAACTTACAGCTCTGTTAACCAGGCTGTTCCTGTCCAGCCACCTGTGGAAATGGCTTCCTTAGGAACCGACAACGGAAGCCTCTTAGACGATCCCTTAAACTCGCCCAAGTATCAGCATATTTCCTTTATGCCAACTTTACACTGTGTCATGCACCACGTTGCCCAGAAGTCTGAAGTTGTCGTTCCTCCCCCCAAATCTGCTGATGGCAAAACAATAGGCATGCTTGTTCCGAGTCCGGTTGCTATTTCTGCAATTAGGGAGTCCACCAGTGCGACCCCTGTTGGGCTATTAGGACCGGCAGCTGCTGCTGGCGAATCAGAAAAGCACCTGGAACTGCTGGCTTCCCCTCTGCCTTTTCCATCAGCGTTCCTTCCTCATAGCAGTACTCCTGCTTTGCACCTAACAATTCAGAGGCTGAAGCTGCCGCCGCCCCAGGGATCTTCCGAGAGCTGCCCGCTGAACGTCCCTCAGCAGCCAGCTGGGAGTCTGAGCATCGGATCACCAAGCACGGCCTTCATTCCTGTCCATAACCCGGGCAGTTTCCCAGGATCTCTTGGTGCTGCCACGGACCCCATCACCAAATCTGCATCCCAGGTGGTAGGACTCAATCAAATGGTGCCTCAAATTGAGGGAAACACAGGGACAGTCCCTCAGCCTACCAATGTGAAGGTAGTTCTTCCAGCAGCTGGCCTCTCAGCTGCACAGCCACCAGCTCCCTACACCCTCCCGGGCTCTCCCCTTGCTGCCAGTGTGTTACCCAGCCAGAATTCCAGTGTGCTCAGCACGGCGTCCACCTCCACCCAGTCCGCGGGAGCCGGCATGAGTCAGGCCCAGTCTGCAGTCCCTCCTGCGGTTCCTACCCACACCCCAGGCCCCGCCCCCAGCCCAAGCCCTGCTCTGACACACAGTACTGCACAGAGCGACAGCACCTCTTACATCAGTGCTGTGGGAAACACGAACGCTAATGGGACAGTGTTGCCACCACAGCAGGTGGGCTCAGGTCCTTGTGGTTCTTGTGGGCGAAGGTGCAGCTGTGGGACCAATGGAAACCTTCAGCCAAATAGTTACTATTATCCTACTAACCCAATGCCAGGACCTGTGTACCGACTCCCAATCTTCCCTCTGCCATCCTTCTGCAATGGCAGCTACCTCAACCAAGCACATCAGAGCAATGGAAACCAACTTCCTTTCTTTCTGCCTCCGACACCATATGCAAATGGACTGGTGCATGACCCTGTCATGGGGAACCAAGCCAGCTATGGCCTGCAGCAGGTGGCAGGATTTGGGAGATACTATCCCGTATATGCAGCACCCAGTGTAGTTGCCAACACGAGTGGTTCAGGGCCCAAGAAGAATGGGAGTGTTTCATGTTACAACTGTGGTGTAAGCGGACACTTTGCACAGGAGTGTAAGCAGTCGTCCATGGAGGCCAGTCAACAAGGTAATCATGAGAGCTCCCAGAGGACTTGCTTTTAGTGTGCTCGTGTCTCCCCACCTTACTGGTCCTGGGGATCTTGTTGAAAGTCATTGTGTGTGTGTTTACCAATGTGATGAGTCGTAAGTGCAGACAGCAGAGCCTATTGTAGACCCAGGTCATACAGCACCAGGAAATTCAGAGCAGTTCAGTTCCCAAGCAAGGAAGAAATCAGATAGGCACTTTTTAAAGAATATAATGGGAATTTGCCAATAGAATGTCAAATCTCTGGTTTGCAGCACTTTTTTTTTAAAGCTACAATCCTCTTTCATAAAGTGAGCAAATTTTTCAATATTAAAAAACTAAGACAAAATAGTCATCTGCCATGTAAGATTTTTAGTTGTTATTTTAGTATAGCTGCATAGCTAGCCGGCCCGTGCTCAGTGTATTGTCCATGCTCTTTTCCTGCTCAGTAGGTGCTTTAAGTAAAATGCTATTGCATTTTAAGGTACAAAATATTTTAAGCGCTGGTTTGGGAGTAAGGGAATTTGAACTGAATTGAATATTATCACCTCCAAAAAACTAAGATGTTCTTAAGGACGAGAAGATGCAAATTCCATATACACCTCAAACCTATCACTTGCATTTGGCTTTTGTCATTTTGCCAGACATCACCCAGTAATAGAGTCTTGAATTGGGAGTATATACTTAGCATTTTTAAAGAAAGCTGAAGTTTGATAGTTGTAGGTAGAACTAAGAGCACGAACTTTATTACTTTTAGAAAGTCATTTTATTTACCGTTTTGGAATCGTGGTAGTGCAGAAGATGCCTTCTGCCGAGCATGCCCATTTGATAGCTTGTAGTGGTTGTGATGTGTTGCATTGTGAGCAGTGACTTAGCAGTTCTCTTTCCCATTTTAGGCACTTACAGACTGAGATACGCACCTCCCCTCCCCCCTTCTAATGATACGTTGGACTCTGCAGACTGAATCGAGTAAAGCTTGCCTACTACCTAACACACTGAAGTGTGGGGAGTCATGGTGGGGTGTGGAGGGGAGGAAAGGAAAGGTATTTTGTTCATGTTTTTTTGTCTATACATTTCCGAGATGTCTACGCAGTTGGGGTTTTTCATTTCTCCTGTACTGATGTCCAAAACAAAAAAGAATGCATTGCTTTTGAGCCTCTGGTCTCCTGGTTCAACAACAGGCTTATCTATATGATTCATGTTAAACATTCAAACAAACTATCAAAAGGAAAATGGATGCGTGGTTTTTTCTTTACACTGAATCCTTGCTGTGTGTAATGTTTACTGAATTTCTAAAACTGTGTATCTGACCTTTTTTTTTTTTTTTTAACAACACTAGTGACAGTCATATGGTTTAAAAAAAAAAATACTTTGCTTCTTCCCCAGCTTTTCTCTCTTTCATTCTAAAGTACATCTTTCTCCCCGCCACCCCTGTGGCACACAGCATGGGGCGGCCCGTGCATTGGCCCACACTTCTGTAAACTGCTCTACACATGAATTTAGAGTAAACTGTTTCTCCTTCATCGTAAGGGAGAAATCAAATTCCCCAAATAGGGAATACACTTGTAATAAACAGCACCACATAAATACGTATATGGAGCACTTGTTTTCCAAATAAAAATTAAGTGGAAAAAGTGAAACCACATAAAACTGAAAAAATATGATGTATGAAGTGGACAAAGAGCTTTTTCTTACAAACAACTTTTTACTTCATCATACTTTTGTAGCCTGTTGCTCAGAGAGACATAAAGTGAACAAATAGTGTGAGTGCTATTCTCTGTGTTTGTGTTGGCAATGGCAGTCAGCAGCCTGTTTTACTTGTAGTCTACCATTGTGTCCTGTGGAGACACTACCTGAGCAAAGATCTCTTCTTTTCCTACACCAACTGTTACAGTGTTATGTTGTGTTGAAATGTGTGCGGTTTATTGCAGTCTGAACAGAAGCTCTGCATTTCTGCAAAAGTCAGGTATTTGTTCCTAATCTGTCTCTCCTAGCAAAGTCACTTTTATACCAGTTTACCACTGTGCTTGACTATAATGTGAAAGACTGAATTCCGAGTGTGTTAAGATGGTATTAATCATGTCAGTGTCATGTCACTAAGTTTAATGCTGCTGTTTAAAAAAAAAAAAAAAAAAAAAAAAAAAAAAAGGTTTTTTTAAAAGCCAATCTCTGTACTAAACTGCTTCCAGGTAATTTTTGATTTCCTAAAGTGCACTGAGGTTATCTGGGAGATTGGGTGTGTTTATGGACTGTTGCATTCAACGGCAATGAGCACCTGCCGCTGTATGGTCATGTGGTAAGGGGTTTGGGTCTGTTTCTGTCCCTCAGGACAGAGCAGACACAAGAGGTTTTTGTTGTGCGAGGCAACATTGGTGCACAGCAAGGAACCTAATAGAATTGGTTCAGAAGCCTAACAGATTGCTAAACAAGAGGAAAAAACTTGAAGAAAAAGAAGCTTCATCCAATGCTTCCTAGATAGCATTTCTATTTATAGCACCAATGTACATTTTGAAACTTTCAGGGGTAGGGATTAAAGGGGGAGGGGAGGGTGTGAAGGGGTAGATGAAAGCTTTAATTTAAAAAGAAGAAAAAGTTTGAGTAAAGGAAATTATTTTGATTAATTATATTTTATTTGATCCAGGTATTTTTGGACCACATTATTAAATTAATTGTTAAGCTACAGTTGAGTTGTTCAAGTGAGAGTTTTGATAAGCCACGTATGGACCGCATTGTGAATCACTTGCCAGGTGTACTTTATGGAGCTTATTTTATGATTTAAAATACTGTACTGTATATAGGAGGTGTGTTGCCTTCTCCTTATTTGTATGTTTACCATATACTTTGATATTTGAAATGTTATGTACTGGAAAGGCCACTTATATTTCTAGAACAGATTGGATTTTATGCAACCTTTTTTCCTTGAATTAACAGCAATAAAAAAAAATGAAAAGCAGCTTAAGAATTGTGCTTTATTACAAATTTTGTAAAAATGAAAGATAGAACATCATACATCATAACATTTTTCTTTTTGAAGAATCAACCTCTATTTCCCTGCAATGTGGGCAGTGAATCCCAAAGTTACTTACCACCCGGACTTTATTCAGTATCCCCCACGCAGCCTGGTTCTGTAGTTTGCCTGTGTGACCACTAAAGGAAGAGACTGCACTTCTGTGCTGAGCATGCACTGTGTGCTATGACGGGTCCTTGTCACCTTGGAGCTATGCCTCTGGCTCAGGCCTTCTCACTGAGAGTATAGAGGACTTAATTTGCTTTCTCAAATTTACTAATTTGATTTTGTTTTCCTGGCAGCTCTCTTGGTACAGTATTGAATATCTGTTTCATTGGTCATGTCTTCTATAGTCCAGTCTCAAGTCTGTTTCTATACACTCAATAATTTATAAGATATTATGGGGAGGCACTCTCCAAGCATCTGTAGATCATTCATGTCCCCTGGCAATGACTAATGTCACTCGGCCCAGGCTCCTCAGGTTGTTCCTCAGGACATGCTTGTCTGGAGCCATCTAATCTAAATCCCCTCTGTCCCCAGTGGGCAGGGGTTTGAAGGCTACAGTGCACCAACTTTCCCCTGTAGCCAGTAAGTACCTAGGAGTAACCTATGACATTAGGAACTATAGTACCTCTTAAGTTAGCACACAGGTCTCCTGGAGCAGCGGTCGCCAACCATTCGGACCTTACGAACCACTGGTTGGCGACGGCTGTCCTATAGTGTTAACCTGTGTCCCATCCCTTCCTCCTCCTCTCCTCACTGCAGAAGATAATTACTACTATAAATTTTACACTTCCCACATTTTACATCTTCCTCCCTTAAATATGTTGGGTTTTATAGGGTGCCCTGGTGTTCTGTGACTGCCTCAGCTCGTCTGATTTTAAGTCCTGACGGTGCATTCCTGCAGATAACCGTTTTTACTAACTTTACAATATTCTTTTGCATGGTATAAATATATATCACAAGATGCGCCATACCGCTTTCCAAAAGGTTTGCACTCACACCAGTAGTGGACAGGTCCCTCAGCCCATCACTGGACACTCTCCCAAAATGATACAATGATAGTGCCTGGAAGGTTGGCAAGGGAGGACACAGTCTGACCTGCATGCATTTGTGTCAGGCTCCGAGGAGCAGGTGAGTGTGCAGAGCCTAACAGTTCAGGCAAGTTTCAGGGGTTGGAGGGTGTTGCACTCCGGGCAGAATGTAAAGGGAACAGACTAGAAGTGGCAGAGTTGTGTCATTGGGAAGTGGGAGGAGGAGACGGCAGTTGTAGTCAAGGGAACCATTATTAAAAATATTTTTTTACTGATTTCAAAAAGGGGAAGAAGTGAGAGAGAGAGACATTGATGAGAGAAACATCGATGAGCCTCCTCCTGCACACCCTGTACTGGGGATGGAGCTGGAAACCCAGGCATAGACCTGGAATCACCTTCCTGGTCATGGGACGATGCTCAGCCAACTGAGCCTCACTGGCTGGGCTCAAGGGAACATTTAGAAAGAGGAGACTTATGGTTCAACAGAACAGACGTAGCCTGGAGATTTTGCAGTTGACTGACTGAAAAACTGGGAGTTACCAAGTTTTAAATAGAGGAAAAATATACTGAAGGTAGTTTTTAAGGAAACTGGTGGATGGCTGAGCTTAAAGAAAGCCTGGAAGTTCAGAAGCTGGTTAGGGTGAGGCAGCTGGGAAGAAAGAGGAGATGGAAGAGACTAGAAAGAGGCTTGAGCCTCTGAACTTTATTTTTTCATAGATATAAAATGCAATTATTTTAAATTATGGCTGTAAAGATAGAATGAAATAATAAATGGGAAGGGTTTGATTTAATGAGTGAAAAAGCAACAGGCCCAGCCGGTGTAGCTCAATGGTTAAGTGTCCACCCATGAACCAGGTCACGGTTCGATGCCTGGTCAGGGCACATGCCCCGGTTGCGAGCTCACTCCTCAGTAGGGAATGTGCAGAAGGCAACTGATCTGTGACTCTGATCATTGATATTTCTCTCCCTATCCCTCTCTGAAATCAATAAAAATCTATTGTTTTAAAAATAAAGGAAAAGCACCAGGAAGGTCTCGGATGTTAGTTGAATTAAATTTTGATGATTCTGCACCCCTGAACCTGCCCATTTTGAGGATTGTGATTCTGGTTCAAGAGACAGGGCACGTTGTGGAAGAGGATTAGGCCTGAGAGTGAAGGCAGTGGTTCTCTGGGTGTTGAGGAACATAGCAATAGGCTCTTCGTTATATTAAGGTTAATTATTTCAGCTCTTCCCACTGAAACCTGGTTTTTAGAAATTAAGTCTAGTTGGAGAGCTTCCCAATTAATGGCAGCGATGGTTATATGTACATGGGCTCAGTCCCACTGTCCTGATTTTTCAGCACTAAAATAGGATAAGTTCATTACAAGGCAAACCCGCGTTTAATTTTTTATGTAAGTGCTAAATAATCTTTTTGGAGACAGTTCCAAAAACATTAAAGCGCCGTGTAAAATCGTTTTTTATTTTTTTAACAGGTAGCATCTAGCACTCCAGAGCATCATCCATTTGCGCTTGGAAGACACCTCTTTTCCATTCTCCATACTGATCACACAACCATCCCAAGGTTCAGGCGGTGAAACCAGATGGAGGCAAGCTAAGAGTTTGATAGTTCAGTCCCATAACCCTCCCATCCTTTTATCTCAAGGAAAAAATGCTGACTTCCTTTACGCTGCCCACCTCCAAAAGGACCCATTTATTTTTAGAGACAGGAGCTGAGGTGAGGGAGGAAGCCAGAGAGGGAGTGCTCTGACTTCCAACCCTGGAGCTGCGCTCCGGACCTTCCTTCTCTGGGGTGGGAGTTGGGGGTCAGCTGTTAGAGAACCAAGGGCCCTGGATTCCGAGGAGGATGAGCAGGTCTGAGCCCAGGCAGCACCTTCGACCTTCACGTGACTGACCTTCCCCAGGACATTGGATTCTTAAGGTCGA